TTTATCTTCGGTTCCTGCCTCCCGGGTGCCTCGGAATCTTATAGCTGCAAGCTATTTGTACCTTCAAGTCTTGAGTCGGCTGAGAATTCGGTGAGCAAGGGCCCATGGCTTTCACCTGGCCTCAGACCTGATTGTGGAACTGAAGCACTTGGTCAAAGTTCTCCCCCCACCCCGCCAGGATCACACCTGTCTGCTAATTGATATTCTTTGGGTACAGGTATTTCCAGCAGCTATGAACAAAAAGGATTGTGCTATTGCACGACACAGTCCACTCATCATTCATTCATTCATTCATTCAGTTACTGAGCCAGAGCACAGCACGCAGCACCAGCCCCTCCCAAAGATGACGACATGAGTGCCCTGCCAGCTTCCCCACAGCCAGATCATCTGTGTTGTCCACACCACTCTATCGAACTTTCTAGAAGCCCTGATATCAGGAAAGACGTGACTTCTGCAGGGCCTGGGCATCAGCTCACTTTAATAAACTCTTCATAAGTACTCAGTCCAGAATCCCCATCTGAGATGTTTCCAGACTTACTGAACTGACCGCACCCTCCCCCACTGGAGGTGGACCAATCACACCTGCCCAGGAGCCTCCCTTCCCTCAAGATCAGCCCAGGCCAGCGCCGTGGCTCACTAGGCTAATCCTCCGCCTTGCGGCACCGGCACACCGAGTTCTAGTCCCGGTCGGGGCACCGGGTTCTGTCCCGGTTGCCCCTCTTCCAGGCCAGCTCTCTGCTGTGGCCAGGGAGTGCAGTGGAGGATGCCCCAAGTGCTTGGGCCCTGCACCCCATGGGAGACCAGGAGAAGCACCTGGCTCCTGCCATCGGATCAGCGCGGTGCGCCGGCCGCAGCGCGCTGGCGCGGCTGCCATTGGAGGGTGAACCAACGGCAAAGGAAGACCTTTCTCTCTGTCTCTCTCTCTCTCACTGTCCACTCTGCCTGTCAAAAAAAAAAAAAAAAAATCAGCCCAGAGGGAGCACCTGTGCCACCTGAGTCCAGAAGAATCTGGCCTCAGGCTGGGTGGGCTCTGGAAAAGAAAACAACTTGAGTTCTGAGGGCTGCCGGGCTCAAGGGCGAGAGAAAAGTCAGAGGCGGGACAGCAATTGCTTTCCTGGTTCTGGTTCACCCGAGCCTGATGGCTCCCTACTCTCCCATCTGGGAGACAGCTTTGTTCCCTTACAATAAGATGCACTTTATGTAAACTGTTTAAGTTGGTTTCCTTGTGATTTCAAAATCCCACCTAATACCCAAGACAGAGAAGGTGCCATGCCTGGTCTCTCTTTAGATCTTTTTCTACCCCTTTCAGATAATTAGAACACACGAGGTTGTACTTCACTCTCCTTACCGTCTCCACAAGGGAGTGATGCATCTGCAAGTCTCTTCCTTGTCTGGAGATGCAAGCCCAAAACCATGTGAAGCTCCCAGGAGGCAACCCCCACTCTGCACCTGTCCTGAAGCCCAGCTCCTTCCCTATTGTGCTTGCTCCACTCTTTCTAATTTCACATCCATGCTCTGAGATCAGGAAGGCGGAAATAAAACAGCAGTGAAGTGGCTCTACCCTGTCTCAGCCACAAGTAAGGTTACACGGATTCCTGTAAACAGCCCCAAGGAGCACTGTGCCATGAGAACCAGCCCAGCTCCAGATCCCTGCTGCCTGCCAGCTGAGTGACTCTGGGAAAGTCACACAACCTCTCTGAGCCTGCAAGTGCTCCTGTGAGGACTGGAGTAAGTGAAATAACCCAGGGAGAAGACAGGGCGTGGATCAATAAACCTAACCTAACCTAACCCTATACCTAGCCCTAGCCCTAGCCCTAGCCCTAGCCCTAACCCTAACCCTAACCCTAACCCTAACCCTAACCCTAGCCCAAGCCCTAACCCTAACCCTAACCCTAGCCCTAGCCCTAGCCCTAGCCCTAGCCCTAGCCCTAGCCCTAGCCCTAGAACTAAACTCTTTTCTTTTTCCAGTTCTGATTGGAACTAAAAGAACCCTCATTTGTGTGTGTTTAAAATTTCCATAAGCTTCACTTAAGTCATTTTGTCACATTTTGTTCACTTTTCTTATTTTTCCTTGGGCACTTCCTGCTTTCTTCTGATCAGGAAAAGAAAACCAAGGCTAACTACTGACGTAAAGGGACCAGCCCACCAATGAGATAAGCTCACTGCTGGAACATTCTACAGACTTGAGCCTGCATTTGTCCTCCGAGACAGCTCTTCTCTTCCAGACGTCACCCTCGGCTGGACAGGGACCCTACTGCCACTACCCTTCCCATGCCGTGAGACCACCCAGGCCACAGAAGGTCAAGAGGCAGTGCCCTGCCAATCAAAGAAATCAGTGTCACCTGCCAAAAACCAACAACGCTACTCCAGAGGGGCTTTTCTAGTATTTAGATATTTGAAAAGCAGAACTACAGAGAGAAAGAGAGAGAGAGAGAGAGAGAGAGAGATCTTCCATCTGCTGGTTACTCCCCAAAGGTCTCCAACATGAGTCCAAGCATTTCAGCCATCACCTGCTGGCTTACTTCCCAGGCTCACCCACAGGGAGCTGGATCAGAAGCAGAGCAGCCGAGATTCTAACTGGCGCTCCAGCAAGGGATGCTGGTGTCGCCAGCGGCAGGTTAACCCACTGCGCCACAATGCTGGCCAGAGGGGCTTTTCAGCCTGCTAGTTCTTCACAGTGAATGAGGGAAGTCTTTCACTGCTCCCAAGCAGAACAGCATCGGTAGGCCCAGGGCTGACAAGACTTACCTCTGCCCCACCCCAACCACTCTTTCATTGTCTCCTACTGAAATCAAAGAAGCAAAAGAAAATTCATGAAATGGACTGTCAGAGAAGCTGGAGGTCCTAAGTCCTGCTACATTTACAACTAACACTGAGTTGTTTGCTTATTGTTAACACTGCCTGTTGCACCATCTGACAAGCAGTGCTTAGGATGAGACAGATGAGAAAGTGCATGTTCATTCATTTCCTCAGCCCAGGCGCCAAGGACTCCCTGGTGCTGGACACCAAGGACTGGATAGGAGATGGTCCTGCCTCCGAGGGAGACGCTCCCAGCAAGGAGAGGCCGGCGGGACACACAACCGCGGCAGAGTTGATAGAAGCTTGTCTTAGTCTGCTCTCTGCAGCTGGGCCAAAACACCCGAGGCTGGGGGATTCATAAAGAATGAAGGTGTATTTATTTCACCCGTGGTTCTGGAGCCTCGGAAGCCCGGGAGCACGGAGCTAGTGTCTGCTTGGCTTCTGCTGAGGGTCTTCTCGCTGAGCCACAACATGCGGCAGGGCATCACAGGGCTCCCAACCTCAAGAAGCCTGCAAAAAGAGAGCTGCTTTGACCCCACAGCTGCTCCCTCAATACCCTGGTGAGCCGGGAACACATTAGCCTCTGAATGGATTCCAGCAGAGCCCTCTTAGAACTAGGGAGGCCAGGGAAGGCCTCGCAGAGCTGGGGCCACCGCAGAAGCTTGTAGCAGGAGGACAGGGAAGGGGGGTGGGAAGCAATGGGTGCTCCAAGTGCAGGCAATACCACGGGCAAGGCTCAGAGACTGCAAAATGCAGAGGCTTGAACAGCACGTCCCTGGGGCTTCTGAGAGCAGCAAGTTCCCTGTGGGGATAGGGCAGGGCCAGGGAAAACAGCTGGGAAACCTGCCTGCAGAATTTAGGAAGGGGGATCTTGTGAATGCAGCTTGCCCGGCCCCACCTGTTGACTCAGAATTCCTGGGGGGAGCCCCAGTGTCCAGCTGAGCCTGAGTTCGCTGGCACCAGCCACCAGCAGCTAGGACTCATTGCCGTCTTAAAGGAGAAGAGTGATATAATAAGATTTGGTTTTAAAAACGCTATTTTCGTGGCAGAATGGAGAAGGAAGTAGAGCAGACAGAGACTGAGGAGGAGATAAATCAGGAGCTTACTCCAGCTGTCTCACGCGGCGATGATAAATGGAAGCAATTGGGAGGGAGGATTGGGTGGATTCATGAGATATTTCCAAGGTGGAAACAACAGAACCTGATGAGCAATTAGACGTGGGCGGCGAGGGAGAGAAAATAGTCAGGAATGATTCAAAACAACGGGGGCGGGCAGGTGGGCGTTTGGCCTAGTGGTTGAGACGCCTGCAGAGTACTTGGGTTTGATACCCAGCTCTGGCTCTGACTCCAGCTTCCTGCTGATGCAGACTCTGGGAGGCACCAGTGACGGCTCAAAGAATTGGATTCTTTCCACCCCATGAAAGACCTGGGTAGTGTTCTCAGCTCCTGGCTCCTGGCTTCAGCCTTGGCTCAACCCTGGCCTACTGTGGGCATCTGGGGAGTGAACCAGCAGAAAGGAGTGTATTTCTGTCTGTCTGTCTCTGTCTCTCTCCCTCCTCCTCCTCCCACCCCACAATCTCTCTTCCTCTCAAGTTAAAGAATAAAAGGTTGAGAGCCCTTAAGAGAAAGGGGAGCTGGGGTTGTGGCACAGAGGATTAAACAACAGTGACGCCATCATTCCACATTGGAGCATCTGTTTGAGTCCTCGCTGTTCCACTTCGGATCCAGCTACCTGCTAATCAGACTGGGAAAGCAGCAGAAGATGGCCCAAGGGCTTGGGCCTGTGAACCCATGTGGGAGACCTGGGTGAAGCTCCTGGCTCCTGGCTTCAGCCTAGTCCAGCCCTGGCCATTGCAGCCAATTGGGTGTGAACCCAACAGATGAAAGGTCTCTGTCTCTGTCTCTCTCTCTGTAATTCTGATTTTCAAATAAATAAATAAATCTTTAAAAGGAAATAAGAGAAAGCGGGAATTGGAGGCCAAGAAGCAGCTCGCATTTGCCGAGCAGGTGAAGAGAACTCTCATCTGCGTTCATGTGAGCGCGCCGTGTGGGAGGAAGCTGCGGACAACCAGATGTCAGGAGACAACAGCAGTCAGAAGTGGGTGGTGGGAGGAGGAGCTGAGTTTCTGAGCAGTGACTGACAAGAAACTGCTGCAGAGTGAGTGGGGGTGGGGGTGGGGGTGGGGGAGTGGGAGTGGGAGTGGCCGGCTCCTGGAGAGGTTACCGCAGTACGGGTGCTTGGCAGGCAAGAGGAAGGAGGAAACTCATGTAAAATGAGGTGGGAAACTGGGATAGAAGGAGAGTTTCAGGAAGAGATGAAAATGCCCAATGACTGGGAAAAGTCAGCTAGGTCCCGTCGGGCGTGGCCTTTGCAAGGCCATTGCCAACAGAGAGAAAGCAGTCCTGGAGGGCTGGGGTCCAGAGGCAGGGTGGGAGTGAGTCACAGGCCGGGAGGTGCAGCCAGCAGCGGAAAGCCCTGCCTTCACGAACGGATGAAGGGAAACAGTGCCAGGGCAGGTCTTCTCCTCCGGAGGAAAGGCCAGAGCCAGACTCGTGGAAAGGCTTTTAAAACTTTTCACCTTATTAAAATTGCACGCCTTAAGCAAGTCCTTGGATGTAGTAGTTATTCTCTACCTCTACAGGCCAGGAATTGTTAGAAATGCGCTTACTCCCGCAGTTCACCACTCCGTGTTTGCAGAAGGTAGAGTCTCCACAAGTTAGGGAGGTAAGTTTTTCCAGTTTGAATGTTTGAAAATAATTGTATCTATTGCTAACATCTCAAATTCTTGCAGTAAAATATAATAACAACACCAGGGTCACATGTGGGCTGACGTGATGTTTGTAAGAAAGAATGTAAGTGATAAGAATGAGGTTTAAAATCCATGTTCCTTGGGATATCGCCTACATCAGAGACATGTAGCTATAACTAATTTTCAGGACAGTACAATAATGATAATAATAGCAAACATTTATAAAGTGTCTATCTATTCCAGGCAATGTCCAAAGCATTTCAATTTATGAACCTATATAATATTCAAAACAATTTTATGAAAAAGATACTATTATTAGCCCATTTCACAGATGAGGAAACCATAGCTCAGATAGCCTAAGTAATGTGATTCAGGTTTTTTTTTTTCTTTTTTATGATTTACTTATTTATTTGAAGGGCAGAATTATAGGGAGAGACAGAGATTCCATCTGCTGGTTCACTCCCCAAATGGCCACAACAGCCAGGGTTGGTAGGCTGAAGCCAGGAGCCAGGAACTCCATCTGGGTCTTCTAGGTGAGTAGCAGGGGCATAAGCACTTGAGCCATCCTCTGCTGCTTCCCCAGGCACATTAGCAGGGAGCTGGATTGGAAGTGGAGTATCTAGGACTTGAACTGCACTCATATGGGATGCCAGTGTCATAGGTTGGGGCTTAACCCGCTGTGCCACAACACTGGCCCCAGAGCTAAGTTTTTTGAAATGATTGTATTATATTTAGAAATTAGGGGAAATAGCCCAATATATCAAAAAGGGGGGGGGACCCAAAACAACCCAACGTCTTCCAGATCTTCCAAAAAGAGCATCAGTAAGCAAACTGTGGTTTATTTAAACAACAAAGTATTACTCAGCAAGCAAAAACAAAAACAAAAACAAACCTACTGAAACAAGCAACAAATCTCAAATAAGATGTGATCAATGAAAAACCAGGAATCAACGGAATACAGAGTATGGCTCCACATATATGAAGTTCTGGAACTGGCAGAATTAATTCTCAGAAATAGAAGTAAAAATAGTGGTTCCCTCCAGGGTCCAGGACCGAGAAGGTGGAGGGCTTGTGCACGGGGCTTGAGGAACATCCTGGAGTAATGAAAATGTTTTATGAGGCTGGCAGTCCCAAGTGAAGTCATCCGTAAATCAATGTTAGAAAACAGGAAAGGGTTAGGGTAATTGATGGAGCGCGGCTGACGAGCAGGTTGAGGGCCTGGTTAACACCCAGATGCAGGCCTAGCACCAGCCAAGCCCCTAGCCCCTGGGACAGAGAGCAGTGAGGCAGTTCTGCGCCCACAGGAGCCAGCAGGAGCTGGCTGAGGGAGGGAGAATCAGGAGGGTCCTGTGCCGTCTTGGCTGGAGGAGTGAGGACGTGGGAGAGTTCTTTCCCAAGGGCAGACGTTCTTGGGACCAAGGATGTGAGAGCTGGGAGGGAACCCCGCCCCCTCTTATTGATGTAGACATCGTTAATGCCTTATTCGTGGTTGTACAGCGACGTAGTGACAGAGCTGGAATCAGCTTGTTCAGTTGCCCCTCGATTTCAGTGAGGAATGATTCCAGGACCACAGCCCCCCTCCCCAGGATAACAAAATCCGTGATGCTTGAGCACCTTATATAAACTGACATGGTATTTGCATAGAAGCTACACACATCCTCTCGCACACTTTAAAGCATCCCTAGATGACCTGTAATACCTACTGCAACGTAAGCATCATGCAAATGGCTGTCCTATAGTACCGTTTAGGAAATATGGCTAGGGGGAAAATGTGTACATGTTCAACACAGAGGTGATTTTTTTTTTCCTGAATATTTTCTATCTGCAGTTGGTGGAAGTGGCAGACACAGAAGCAGAAGCAACCGACAGGGATGCAGTACTTCTGGAAGCAGCATATAGGGAGAGCCGACTGTGTTTCCTCTACAGCAATAAAATAAGCCATTTAAGGTAATGCCAGCTCCTCAACAACATGTCCCTGCCTCATCTCCCATGGTCTACTTGGGGCACTGCTAATGGTGGCTCTTAAGCCTGTGTACTCAAAGCAAATGTATGATTTCCAGTTTGCTTTTTCATCTAGTAAACATTCATGAATCACCTACCTTGTCAGCAGGTGCTTGCTAGGTGCTGAAAATCCCAAAAGAAAAAGCCACTGTTCCTGTTCTCAGGTAACTCAAGGTTGATCAGGGGAGACTCACACAAACACATGACTCACTGTCACATGAATGAGGCTTACCGGTGACACGAGCTGAGTCGGAGCAATTCTGCTAAGGCGGAGAGTTGAGCAGGCTTCAAAGAGGTTGGGGCAGGCATTTGGCACAGTGGTGAAGTCACTGCTTAAGATGCCCATGACCCATATCAGAGTTCCTGGTTCAAGTCCCAGCTCTTCTGCTTCTGATCCAGCTTCCTGCTAACATGCACCCAGGGAAGCAACAGATGATGGCTCAAATGCTTGGATCCCTACAACCCATATGAGAGACTTGAATTGAGTTCCAGGTGCCTGACTTTATCTTGGCCCAGCTCTCACTGTTGCATTTGGGGAGTGAACCACCAGACTGAAGATTCTCTGTCCGTCTGTCTTTCAAATAAAATGAAAATAAATAAATTTAAAACTTTTTAAAAATATATTTATTTTATTTATTCAAAAGGCAGAGTTAAAGAGGGAGGGACAGCTAGAGAGAGAGCTATCTCTTCCATCTGCTGGTTCACTCCTGAAATGGCTGCAACAGCCATTTGGGCCAGGCCCAAGCCAGGAGTTTCTTCTGGGTCTCCCACACAATCTGCAGGGGCCCAAGCACTTGGACTATTTTGTGCTACTTTCTCAGGCCATTAGCAGGGAGCTGGAGAGGAAGTAGCGCATCTGGGACTTGGACCAGTGCCCACAGGGGATGCCGACACTGCAGGCAGCGATGCTACACCACAGCACTTGCTCTAAAATTTTTTTAAAGAGGAGATGTTTAAGCTTCCGGGAGGATAGAGTGGGGTGCCTAGGGAACTCAGGGGAAGAGTTTAAGGATAAAATTAGTGCACTGAAGCACAGGCAAGTCATGTTGCAAAGACATAAGAAACTGCCCTCGTTTATTCCTCATCCAAGACCCCAAGTCCAAAGACAAGACCTGGCTCTGCTTAGCAGTTGCAGCAGCTATCAGCACCAAAGTATCCACGGAAAGGTCACCTTCCATGCACCCCGAAAGTAAAAACGATGGGACTCAGCATGTTCTCACTGTACCAACAGAATTTCCACACCAGAACTAGGAGTGAGCATCAGTGAGTAGAAACATGTTTTTAATTGCAACTGAACTACCACAATGATCTTAAAACAGGAACCCGAACTTTTCCATGAGCCATTGTTAGAACATTCAACTGCTGGCTTTCTCTACCAATACGTCTCTCATCCAAGAGGCATGCATGCTTCTGAAACGCATGCTACAGCTCTGCCAGTGATGGTTAGCAGCACTAATGGAAAATGAATGAAAATGGTTACTTCCATAAGAAAAAAAAAGCTTTGTTTTCTCCCACCTCAATATTGATTTTTAACCAGCCCTGTAATTATAAATGTACGATTTCATCCTAAGATAAAGGCAGGCAGAGGGGAGCAGAGTGTGTAATCCAGTCCAAGGCAGGTAGGCTCTGAGCCATGCAGCAAAGCTGTACTCCAGCAGGTGCAGCCTAAGTGTCTCTCACATTCTCTCTACCCAGCCTGAAACCTGATCCTCCAGGTCCTGAATCCTGAGGCATGTGCAGGTCACAGATAACAGTGACACCCTAATGTTCCCATGTCCATCAGCTCTGTTGGGGTCACCTCTTTCCATAGAATTCAATTAGAATGAATACAACCTCAGCCTACATAATGAAAGAGGTCCCAGCTCTCCCTCAAATTGTTAGGAATTCCTTGGCAAGGTTTTCCCCCTAAGTCACCCGTTGTATCTCACTCAATTCCAACCTCAGTTTCTCCACTCTTTCTGATCTGCTGTGGCTATCACTTCATCTACTACACTTGGCTACCAGCTTGACTGTAGCCAACTTCTCTGCCTTTCCAGAGATGCTAGCCTAAAGCAGTGTTGGGTTCGACTAGTTAAGGTTAGTTAAAGCCCACCACTGCAGGTGGAAGGGCAGAAACTTCACTTGCCTTGTTCATCACTGAATTCCAAGTGCCTAACCCATGCCTAGGTCATCACAGGAGCTAACAATACTACTAGACCTATAGTAGTCAAGTTCTTGGAGACAGAAAATAGAAGAGGGGTTGCAAGAGGTTGTGGCGCCAACTGGGAAGGTTTGGGGGAGTTACTGTTTAATAACAGAGTTTCACTTTATGAAGATAAAAGTGTTCTGCGGGTGGATGGTGGTGATAGTTGCACAATTTGGATGTATTTAGTGCCATTACCCTCCCCAGTGAAAAATGACTAAAATGGTTAAAAAAAAAAAAAAAACCTGTCATGTCAGTTTTATCACAATTTCAGAACCTGAGTGAAGCAACTATAGAAGAAGAATGGAACTCAGAACAAAAAATAACTTTAGGCAAACACAAGTCTTTAGGGTCCCTGAATCCCCCAGCTTGTGGGGTGGCTGCTCCAGAGGTCTCCAAACCTGCTCCTCATACAATGCAGCTGGGCCGAGGGAAACAGAATTTCTAGTTCTATATTGTAGTATCTCCTATTTGGAGGATAGATTTAAAAATGTATAATATAGACTAGCATAGGTGCACATGCAAGTAATTTAGAATAACTAGGCTTACGTTAGGGGAACATTACCCAACACTTTGCACTGCTGTGTTGCGTAATCAACGAACTTCGAAGGACCACTATTGGGATCTTTTGTAGATGTCTGGCTCACTCCACCAGGCTGTGAGCTCCACGGGGCAGGGCCCTTTGTCTGAACAGTGCCCGGTATATACTCAGTTCTCATTCATCAGGGCCACACGAAGAAGCTGAGGCCACAGTTATTGCTCCTCTCTCCAAAGCAGAGAAGCTCAGCCCACAACCACCGCCCTGCAGCTGGGGGCTCCTGGCTTTACTGAGACATCTCCATCTTCTTCTTCCCTCCTCCTCTTCCTCCTTCTGCTCCTCCACCTCCTCCTCCTCCTCCTCTACCTCCTTCACCTTCTCCACCTTCTCACCTTCTTCCTCCTCCTTTCCCTATTGCTGGGGCTGGGCCAGACTGGAACCAGGACCCTAGATCTCCCCATGTGAGTGGCAGAGGCCCAAGCTCCTGAGCCATAATCAGAGGCCTTCCTGGATGCATTAGGGAAAGTTGGATTGGAAGCAGAGATGCCATGGTTCCAACTAACACTCAAATATGGGAGGCAGGCATCCCAAACAACCGCTTAACCTACTACATAGACCATGCCTGCCCTCTGTTTTCTTTTCGCCTTGCCACCCTGCAGTTTCTTCATGTGTAAAGCAAGGGCACAAGGCAGGTGCTCCCACAGTTCTTAACTTTCTGTGATGCCGAGCTCTCTGCCCAGGTGCCAACTGGGAAAGGTCACCAAGGGAAAGACACTCAAAGAAGTGACAACATGACTGTGTCAGGCTGGAGGCACCTGCCCCGGTGGTTGCAGCAGCAGAGTGATCCAGGAGACCTGGCCTGACTTTTTGCTCAGTCTTAGACAAACTGCCAACATCTCCTCCAAAAACTCTGTCTTTGAGGACTCGGCCTAGTGTTGGCTTTGCAGCCGGACAGTTCTATGTCTAGGTCCCTCGTCTCTCCATGCAATCCCTGGCTGGCCCAGAGCAAGTTACTTAGCCTTCCCGAGTTTTGCGTTACTGTTTTGACAATCCAAGAAAATAACACTTATTTTATGGGACTATTGGAAAAATAAAAAGATGTCTAAAGGAGCATGTTTGGCCTTGTAGTTAACATGTTGGATAAGGTACTCATATCTCACACTGGAGTGTCTAGGTTCAGGTCCCAGCGACCTGATCCCAGCCTCCTGCCATTAGGCACCTTGGGAGGCAGCAGGTGATGGTTCAAGTGGTTGGGCCCCTGCCACTTCCACAGGAGACCTGGATTGAGTTTCTGGCTCCTGGCTCTGGCGTGACCAGCCCCAACACTGCAGACATTCAGGGAGTGAACTAGTACACAAGAGCTGTCTGTGTGCCTCTGAAATTAATTAACTAATTTTTAAAAAGAGATGGGCATACAGTGAGACCTCAATAAAACATAGCATGACTACTATTATTATACTTAGTTTCCTCTACAGGAAATAAGAGTCAAAATCAGTGGTTTTCAGAGGAATTCCAGCACATCCAAGGGCTGCCCAAACTATTAAGGGCTGGGGCTCTGGGTGGTTCATTCTTCAAAATGCCACCCTTTGTCTTTTTTTTCCAGTTCTGCTTATCTCAGATTTATGGGTTCTTATTCCTGTTGGAAAAAAAAAAAGGATACTGCAGATTTTAAAAAGTACTTTAAAAAATACTGGACTAGACAATTTTAAGCCCATGAAACTAACTAAAAGTAGGAAAACATCTGAACTTGCATCAGAGGGGCACGTGATGGCAATGACAGAAAAGCTGTGGTGGTCCTGACCCTGAACCCCAGACCCACACCTCCCAGCTTTCCTCATTGAGAGCTCTCCGAGGAAGACTCCCTGTGAGAGTCATCCCTAGAACCACTTGCTCAGCTGCCCGGCAGATGGTGGCTGAACACCTACTTCCTCGGTGAGATATCTCATAATGCCATCTCTGTCTACTACCACTCACCTCTCGCTTTGGTTAGTGATTGGGAAATACTTCCCTGCACACCTACGGCTGCTGCCTTCTCACATCTTTTCTATCCAAGTTCAGCTCTGGGTATGGATTTCCAACGATGTTATCTCGGAGGTGGTCTTCAAATGCAATAGATGACCATTCATAGTCACCCCATGTGTTTTGAGGCCACAGGCAACCTTCAGCACTATTCTCCGTGGGCTGCTGCTAATCCGAGATGACAGCATGGTAGAAACAGCCTGGTCCAGAATGTGGGGGTGGACCCAGCTCTTTGATCTGTTGGCTAAAAAACCATGGGCAAATAACTTAGATTCTTTAAGCCTTGGCTTCTATGCCTGAAGAATCTACCTAAATTGTGTCTACCTTGTCTACTCCACAGGACTTCTATGAAGATCTCATGAAAGACTGGATGCCAGAACCATGTAGAAGCACCCAGAAGGGAGGGCCCAGGGGCCCAGTGTCACCACAGATGATCTGAGCCTGCCTCTCCAGATCTGGCCTAGCAGGGAGGGCCGTTCTCTGGACACACCCAGACGTCCCCAGCATGAGGTCATTTCGAGAAGGCGAGTCTGTGGGGGCTACAAGTTACTACATGATCCATCTTCCCATCTGGTCCCAACTGCTCATGGTCATGGCTTGCCCAATGCCGGGCAGGTTAAGATGAAAGTGTCCTGGCAGAGATTCCATCCAGATACCACCAGTTCTTCCTGGATTGAACAGATAGTGGATCTCACTCCCACAGCTTCTCAATGGCAGAGCTGGCCTTTGGCTCAAGGGGGCCCCAGGCAGGAAAGGGTGGGGCACCTCCTCCTCCCACCTCTCCCTTTGGCCCTTGAGGAGGGTGGGTGGGAGGGAGCCGCAGGCATAGCCACTTGTTGTTGGGACATCTAGGGTGTGGAAAGTCACAGAAAACCCTTAGAAGAAGGCTGAAGTCACAGAAAATCCTTAAAGGGCCAGGTGGGCTGAAACTGTCACGTAGGAAGTCAGTGATTTAGAAAAGTGCCAAGTCCAGTGTAAAGGACATTTGGAGGCTGACCCTGGTGCCCTGGACTGGGGTTTGGAAAACCTGGCTGTCCTCTGAACTCTGGGCGGCCTTGGACAAGTCACATCATCTCCAGATGGAGTGGACCTGAACACTGCTTCTCAAATGGGTGCCTTTAACTCCATTGTACTCAGTGGTGAAAAGCTGCAAGTCACTCATCTTCTGGGAAGGTCAATTTAACTTGAGGATCGGGAGGAACAATTTTTGGAACAGCTTTATGAGATATAATTCACATCCCACACCATCCTCCTATGTAAAGTCAATAGTTCAGTGATTGGCAGCATTGCCACAGTCAGCTTGAGACTTTTCCCAGTTTTCCCCAAAGGAAGACATCCTGTTCCATGTAGCTGTTGCCTCCCACTGTTACCCAAGCCTCCCAGGCTCTACTACTCATCTACTTTCTGTCTCTGTAGATTTGCCTAGTCTAGGCATTTCATGTAAATGGAATCATACAATATGTGGTCTTAAGGAGATAATTTTTATATTAATGCAAACAGTTATGTTATGAAAAACATACAGAAAATTACAATCATTCTTAAATCACAAACGATTTATGTCAAATGTCCCTTGGGCCTGATAGCTTGCGAATGACTGTGAATCATCTATTGCCTTGGAAAACCACCTCCAGGATAACATCGTTGGAAATCCGTACCCAGAGCTGAACTTGGGTTGAAAAGATGTGAGGCGGGAGCAGTCCTAGGTGTACAGGGAAGCATTTCCTGTTCTCCGCAAGGAACAGGCATCCATGCTCCTCTCTTCCTAAGGTCACTTCGTGAAAATTCTGCAAAGCACTGGGCTTAATCATCTGCTCTTCCATTATAGTTCCAACTTTAAAAGGTTCCAAATGCCCAGCTTGATAAATCTAGAGTGATTTTCCAGGATAAGTTATTTGTGACTTTCTGATTTCATTGTCCTCTTCCATTCTTTCATCTTATTTCATATCTATTCAGAAGTCAACATTCGAAATAGCTGAAACAATCATGAGATTAGGCCAATGTTTCAGATTTCAATAAAAAAGAAAAAAAAGAGTAGAGCTGTCCATTCCAACCATTCACCAAGGAGCATCCTTCCAGGAGTGTCTTGATCCATCTTATCCACTGTAGCCTCTCCAGTGTCTTGGACCATGACAAAACAGGACAGCTCAACCAACATGAGAAGGGAGCAGTATGTACCTTAGCATTTAAGCTGCCATTAAGACACTGTCATCCCTTATCAGAGTGTCTGGGTTAAGTATCCGGCTCTCTGCTAATGCAGACCCTGGGAGTCAATGGTGATGGCTCAAGTAGTTGGGTCCCTGCCATCCCAAGGGAGACCTGAATTGTATTCTTGGCTCCTGGCTTTGGCCCCAGCACAGCCTCAGTCCTACAGGTTTATGGGGAATGAACCAGTAGATGAGAGCACTAGCGTGCTTGCTCTCTCTCTCTCTCTCTCTCCCTGTCTTGTTATTTCTCTATCTTTTTCTGCCTCTCTGCCTCCGTACTTCAATAAGCTCATGAAAATGAAGTTAGGGGATAAATATAATTTTGGTATAAAAATTGTGAAATTCATGTATATGAGGGGGCTCCAAAAAGTTATGAAAAAAAACTATGAGTTTCAAAAATTTTTTTCACCAACAAAACTCTTTTTTTTTTTTTTTTTTGACAGGTGGAGTGGACAGTGAGAGAGAGAGAGACAGAGAAAAAGGTCTTCCTTTTTTCCATTGGTTCACCCCTCAATGGCTGCTGCGGCCGGCGCTCTGCGCTGATCCGAAGCCAGGAGCCAGGTGCTTCTCCTGGTCTCCCATGCCGGTGCAGGGCCCAAGGACTTGGGCCATCCTCCACTGCATTCCCGGGCCACAGCAGAGAGCTGGCCTGGAAGAGGGGCAACCAGGACAGAATCTGGTGCCCAAACCGGGACTAGAACCCGGTGTGCCAGCGCTGCAGGCGGAGGATTAGCTTATTGAGCGGCGGCGCCAGCCCCAAAAAACCCTTTTAATTCCATTTTCCACAGACTTTTTAAAAGTACACTAGTAATTCCTGGAAGAAAGAAAAAAGGAAGAAAGGGAGAAAAGGAAGGTGGGCGGGAAGGGGAGCAAGCTGTTTGTACCTTGCTCCACACCTCACCTGGAGCCTGGGTTAGTTCAAATGCATATTCCCGTTGGAAAGGGCATGCACCTTAGGCTCAGCACTGACCATCTATCTCCAGCCCTGCGCTACACTCAGGCTGCTTTGAAGGAACTCCACTCCTAGAGGCATTATCACAGTGCAGTGTTCTTCAAGGCCTGTTTTTTCCGACTCACTCTTACCAAACCTTCAACCCTGTTGGGTCTAGTTTCTTGCGGCTGATAGAACTTGAGGGCAGACATGGTGGGGTATGCAATAGCATAGGAAATGCTGAACATGCAGGGCCACAGTATGGCTTTAGGGGGCCCAAGACACCTTTGCTATCCTAGGCTCCTTCCTCCAAAACAAATATTAATAATACACTCATAGTCTATGCTTGCATTGGCACGAAGACAAGTATAGTCCTGGCCGGGTTTATGTATTATATACCATATATGTGAATTCTATTGATGTTTTCTCCTGATTTTAAAAGAAATTAAAATGAAAACCTTTTCATTGGCCCCAGGCCCTGTGCTTGTTATTGCTGGAGACTCTGGTCCTGAGATCAGGACAGTGAAAGAGCCTGGGGACACACAGAGCCTAAAGCCAAGCTTCTTCAGACTGAGCCAATCACTCACCCTGGAGTGCTCAGTTAGTCTTAAAAGAAACCCTCCAGGCAAGAGACTGCAAGTACTGAAATAATGAATTACAGAAGGACTCCTTTAGCAGAAACTTAAGTTCCACTACAAGAATTTCACCAAGAGAAATGAAAGAGGAGGGTAGGTTCAGAAAAAGGGATATTAAATCTGTTGGTAGCTCTAGTAAACACACAAACACACACCCAAGCCCAACCAAGAGGTAGAAGCCTGCTATTTGATAATGGCTGCCTACCAAGAACTTGCTGACGGGGCCAGTGCTGTGGCATAGTGGGTAAAGCTGCTGCCTGTAGTGCCTGCATCCCATATGGACACCGGTTCGAGTCCCAGCTGCTCTACTTCCAATCCAGCTCTCTGCTAAGGCCTGGAAAAGCAGTAGAAGATGGCCCAAGTCCTTGGGCCCCTGTCCCTGTGTGGGAGACCCTGAAGAAGTTCCTGGCTCCTGGCTTCGGATCAGCACAGCTCCAGGCGTTGTGGCCAACTGGGGAGTGAACCATTGGATGGAAGACCTCTCTCTCTCTCTCTCTCTTTCTGGCTCTCCTCTCTGTGTCTAACTTTGACTATCAAATAAAAATCTTAACAAAAAAAAAAGTTTGCTGGCACTTAGGATTTCTGTCCAGTTTCCTGAAACATATATCCTCAAATTGGAAGATTCAGAGAAGGAAATTATCTGGAATGCAGGACAATTTTTCATAAAATCACTATCTTCACCACTTCCCCAAACTCCCTGCGAGACATCTGCCCATGCAAACTGTCATGGATTTTTATCTGTGTCATTGGCCTCCAGTAATGGCCAGTGACTAGATGGGACTCTCAGTAATCCTCCTGAGTACCCTGGCTTAGGCCCCTCTGCCCCATGCACTCTGCACATGAGTGAATGTCTTTAGTTGCCAGAACAGTGGAAGCTGCTCCAAGAACACTGCTTCAGATGTGATATCCCTAGACCATACCTTACATGGTGACACTAGCAACAACCTGTCAGTGGACACATAAAAATCAATTTCCCACCTGCTGTCACAGAGAAGATGAAAGGGAAGAGAATTTTATTCTGGGTTTGTAGATGGGAACAAGTGAGCTCTCTTGGGTCCTGAGCTGGCTGGAAGCTGAGACTGGCTTTCCCTTCCCACAGTGCACTGCAACTGGCTTCTAGTGAGCTTCCACCAAAAACAAGACCAACGCCAGAACTTTGGAGTGTTCCACAATGCCTTTAGCCTCTCTTTCAGAGGGCACAACTTAGATTCTGGGAATAACCCAAGAACCACCATCCTGGGTCCAAGCACTTGGCTCTGACATCTATTAGCTAAAAAACAGTATTAGAATGGGTGATGTCCACTGTGGGTCTCCAGATGGAGAAAATAAAATGTGGTGGTCCCCAAGCAAAATTCTCCACAACACTTTTATCCAGGGAATTCTGAATGAGCAGCTACTTACTGCATGCCATTGATCTTGGGGTGTGGGGCAAAGGGAGAAGGCACACTTCCCAGCCACAAGGAGTATACATGCAGGTAGGTAGGGACCACACTGTCACCACATCAGAGACCCAGAGGAGGCTCCTGGCTCTGAACCATTCCAGCTCAGGCTATTGTGGTCATTTAGGGAGTGAACCAGTGAATGAAGTTCTCTCTCTCCTTCTCCCTACCACCCCCCCTGCCACCTTGGGACTCTGCCTTCCTAATAAATAAAATGAATTTAAAAAAAAAAAACACCTCTGTGAATCTAGAATTATTTTGGACCTTAGGAATATGGACTAAATAACTAATAGAGAAACTAATCAAAAGCTTATATTCAGGGTGGGCATTGTGTTGCAGTGGATTAAGCCACTGCTTGGGATGCCTGCATTCCATATTGGAGTGCTGGTTCAAGCCCTGGAACACTCCACTTCCAATCCGGCATCCTGCTGATGTGCCTGGGAGGCAGCAATCGTAGCCTAAGTGCTTGGGCCTCTGACAGTCACATGGTAGACCTGGACGGAGACTAGGGACAGAGAATCAAGGTGTAAAATGCAGTCACATTCCTAAGCTGAAGTCACGGAGGGGAGAAGAGGAAAGCTGCAAGCATCAAAGGAGCTTGGGTGCAGGGGTCATGAAGGTGCATCATGGGCAGGAGGACACCAGACATTGCAAGGTCCCTTGGGTAAAGATCCCTTTCCCAGAGATTCCTATACACTGATGTTGAGGAACGGACATGGTGGCAATTAGAAGGAAAGCTTTCACTCTTAAGAGTGTAGTCTCGGGGCCAGCACTGTGGCTCAGCGGGTTAATGCCCTGGCCTGAAGCGCCAGCATCCCATATGGGTGCTGGTTTGAGACCCAGTTGCTCCACTTCCAATCCAGCTCTCTACTATGGCCTGGGAAAGCAGTAGAAGATGGCTCAAGTCCTTGGGACCCTGCACCTGCGTGGGAGACCCGGAAGAAGCTCCTGGCTCCTGGCTTAGGATCGGCGCAGTTCCAGCCATTGCGGCCAATTGGGGAGTGAACCATCGGATGGAAGGCCTCTCTCTCTCTCTCTCTCTCTCTCTCTCTCTCTCTCTCTCTCTCTCTGTGTGTGTAACTCTGACTTTCAAATAAATAAATAAATCTTAAAAAAAAAAGTGTAGTCTCAATAGGGTAAGTGTGGAGGTCAAACTCTGGAGGGCTGAAGAAAGACTCAGGGTAGGGGCAGGCATTTGGCACAGCAGTTAAGTTGCTGCTCTGCTTCTAATCCAATGTCCTGCAAATGTCACTCTGGGAGGCAAGTGATGGCTCAAGTACTTGGGTCCCTGCCACCCATGTGGGAGACTCAGGTGTAGCTTCAGGCTCCTGGCTTCAGCCTGGCTCAACACTGGCTATTGCAGACATTTGGGGAGCAAACCAGTAGATGGAAGATCTTTCTGTGTCTTTCTACTTCTGTCTCTTTGCCTTTAAAATAAAATGAAAAAAAAAAGTAAGTAAGAACTTTAAAAAATAGAAAGACTTAGGGTAAAGAGAGAAGACAAAAATCACAGATCATATACTTAAGATATTTGAATGGAAAAGATTTTTTAAGAGGCAAACAGCAGGATTAAGCAAAGATAGCTTCTTTAAAAATATTTATTTCTTTCTTTGAAAGGCAGGGTGACAATAGAGAGAAAAGGGCAGAAAGACAGACGGAGAGAGAGAGAGAGCTTCCATCTGCTGATTCACTCCCCAAATGGCTACAACAGCCAGGGCTGGGCCAGGCTGAAGACAGAAGCACAAAACTACATCTTGGTCTCCAATGCAGGTGGCAGGGACACAAGCTCTTGGGCCATCTTCCGCTGCTTTCCTATGCACGGTAGCAGAGAGCTGGGACTCAACCATTGCTCCAATAGTGGATGCCAGCATTTTAAGCATCAGCTTAACCCTCTGCATCACAATGCTAGACCCAAGCAAATTATCTTTCTTTCTCTTCAAGTTAATAAACGCTTGTGTGTAGACCTAGAAGGGAGGGGTTGAGAAGATGAAAGCTGAGTAAGAAAAAGAGATCATTGAAGAGACTGAGTTTTAGAGACAGCAGGAAGGGACTCATTTGTTAATTTTGTGAATTAATTTAAAATGAGGCACTCTATGCAAAGTATTGTGTTCTGCACAGTAAGAAATAGAAAGGATAAACAAAAACAGTGTCTTCTCTAAGGAGCTCACTATTTAGTGAGAGAAATGACAGTTGTGCAAAGAGTAATAATCACGGCAGTATGCATCCTATGTTGTTAACAAGAAAGAGCTATTGCAGTTCAGAGAGGAAATGTGGGATGAAGGGAGACGGGACATCTCAAAAGGCACCGTGGAAGGGAAAGTGCTATACTTAGTCTTGAGAGATTAGCAAG